GACGACATGGGGTGACCCTGTGTGGGTGTGGGGACACGGGACATCCTTGTGTGTTGCCATATGGGGGAGGATACATGGAGCATCCCCATGTATGTGTGGGGACTCACAGGGTACAGGTCTGTCCCCAGATACATAACAGAACCTAAGACATGCACCCCTCCCAGAGATGTCCCCACTCGGCTGTGCCCCATGGTGACACAGATGTCCCATGTCCCTGTGTCCCCCCCGCTACGCGACGCCATGTCCTGTACATCAACCCACGCCCCCGTGTGTCCCCATGTCCTACCCGCGCTCGCAGATGAGCTCGACGACGCTGTGCTCCATGGGGACGGGGTCGAGGCAGCGGTGGGCGGCGCTGGCAGCCACCTCGTCCAGCAGCCCCTGCACCACCCGCTCGTCAGCGGCGAAGCGCCAGAGGTAGAGCTGCAGGTAATGGCCGTCCACCTGCACCTGCTGCAGCCCGAAGCGCCCCAATGTCCGCAGCCGCACACACTCCAGCAGCGTCTTTAGGCTGATCTTGATGATCCCAGTCAGCACCGACACCTGGGACGCGGGGACAGCGGGGACACGTGGCACAGGGGAACAGGGATGCCCCCAGGGCAGGAAGGCCCCGAGTTACATCTGCACGGGGATGCGGGGACATTGGGGACGCCCCTCTGCAGGCCATCAGTTCCTAGGATAATCATCCTGGTCAGCAGTCCCCAAGGATCCCCTGCGTCCTGACACACGGGATGTGGGGACACTAGGGACATGCGGCCCAGGGCAATGGGGAATCCTTCGGCCTGGATTCTTCACGTGCGGGGAGGCCCCAAGTCCCATGAGCATGGGCACATGGGCGACACAAGGGACACCCTTGTCCTGGCTGCCACTCCCAAGCCTGGACACGTGGGACAGTGGGACATAGGGGACACGTGGCACGGGGGGATGGGGACACCCTTGGCCTGCCTGTTGGGAACACAGGGAGGCCCTGAGTCAAGTCAGCACAGGGACACGAGGACACCCTCGCCCTGGTCATCAGCCGCAGGGACCTCCTGAGTCCTGACACGTAGGACAGGGGAGCATCAGGGGACAGTGGCAACACCCCTGTCCTGGTCATCAGCTCCTGGGGACCCCCTGGGCCCCAGCACCTGGGTCATGGGGACACCAGGGACATGTGACAGCCGGGAAGGTGGGCAGTTTAGGGACCCTGGGGGCCCTTGGGGACATGGGAATGTCCCCGTGGCCTCACCTTGTTGAACTCGACAGGGCTGAAGATGTCAATGCGTTCAGAGAAGAGCTTCTGGATGTTGCTGAGCAGGTGAGTGTCCATGGGGGCGCTGGGGATGGTGACACCAGGAGAGTCAGGGACACGGGGACAGTCAAGTATTTGAGAAAGCCAGGGGACGTGGGGGCAGGGACACAGGGGCTGTCAGGCGACACAGGGATGGGGACACAGAGGTGGCCAGAGGATGCAGGGACGGTCAAGAGATATTGGGGCCGTTTGGGGACACAAAGACAGGGGAACATGAGGATGGGCGGTGGATGTGGGGACAGTCAGGGAACGGGGGGATGGTCAAGGACACGGAGAGATGAGGCAATCGTGGGACGCAAGGCACATGGGGATCATCAGGGGATACTGGGACAGTCGGGGGAACACGGGGATGGTTGGGACATACGGGGATACTGGGAATATTGGGACAGTCTGGGGACATGAAGAGGGTCACGGGGAAGATGTAGCGGTTACCGCAGGGGGGGCGCCGGGCGCACAGGGGGGACA